GGGGGTGGGGATGTTTATGTCAGCAGGACTGTCTGGCTGAGGACATTGTCAAATGGGACGGTAAGGGAAAGGGGGAAGGCATAAACAAAATATACAGAGAGACAAACCTGTCAAACATAGCACACAAAACGCAGAAACAAACCTCATTAAGTCACGCTAATTGATGGGCTATCATGAAACCTCAGGCATGTCGGGACTTTGCAGCTGTTGGGGATGTAAAGCTGAGGGTGCAGGGTGTTGGTGGGGTTAGTGGGACTGTGCAAACGGGTGGGGGAATGTGCAGGGGAAGGGGATAGGGAGGGGCGAAGAAGTGGACAGAATGGGGTGTGAAAGGGGCCCGTTCTGTGTGAAATGGGGCTGGCTGGCGCCCTTGTCTGACCGAGCTGGCGTGCTGGGTGCTGGCTGCTGGGGGCAAATGTCTGATATCTTCCCCAAACCAGAGGCGTGTGAGGGGTGCGGGTGTTCGCGGCAAACCTCAGGCTGGCCCAGCCAGCAAGTGGGGGATCCGTGGGGTAAGGGGGCCTGGGATCTGGGCAGGGGTGCTGGGTGTGACAGTGCTTGGGGGATGCACAAATGGGCGTGTGCCTGTGAAGCTCGAGAGGGTCATGTGCACGCCTGCACTGGTGGCCTTGGGTCTCTGCTGGGGGCTGTCCACACTTGTGCCTGACGTGAGCTGTGTATGCGGGTGCTGTTGAAGGCAGCGCCTGGTCTGTGGCAGCCTGCGGAGCCAGCCATGTCCATGTCCTCTGAGCACGTGTGCATGTCTCTGGGACGTGAAAGCAGCAGGTGCATTTGTCAGAGACCCCAGGTCCCCCGGGCACGGGGCTGGACTCCAGCAGCTGGGCAGAAGGGAGCCCTGAGCTGGAGCTGCTGGAGGCAGCAGTCACTCCTAACATCCCTTAGCGTATAGTAATGATTTTTAAAAAGCAAACAGCATTATTGTGGGGTAGATTAAGGAGAAAATATTGACTTTCTACAGAGATAGTCTATATTTATTGAAAATACAACGGAATGAGGAGCCCTAAACTCTTAAAATAATTACTGAAATGAGGTTTTCTGAATAGAATATTATGTTCCACTTCATATATGCAAAACTACATAACGAAACTGATGTTATAAATGACTGTAAGTTTTTAGATTTTGCTGAGATAAAAGTCTAGTGCTAGTTAAATAAAACCACATTTCCCTTTTTGGTGATTTTGAAGACCCAGAGAACTGCCCTTGAGAAACATTTGAGATTCTTCGTTGTAGTAGCATCCCCAGGATGACAGCAAGTGCAAACCACTGGAAGTTAAAGCAGTTGTAGCATTGGGTATGTCGATTTGTTTCCTACAGGACTGAAGAGGGAGGGGTAGAAAGGAGGTGTAATGACACCTTGATTTCCTTGTTTAAGTTGTGCAGCAGATAGAGCTTAACTAAAACAGAAGATTTGGCACATTATTGTTTCAGTATTCTTTTTGCATCTTGAAGTAGTTTTCCATCCTAATTATAGCTCTGGTTAAAATGAAAACTATAGGAATTAAATATGAAAATTTAGTCTTATAGTAGAATGCGTAATTGAATTTTATGTTGCTATTCAAAGGTGAAAAAAATTGACTCAAGCTTGTATGAAGATTTTAAAAGCCGTTATTTTGGAGATGAAATCCTGCACCGCCTAGATCTTTGCTCCATGTTGAAAAAAAAGCAACCGAATGGTTACTACTACTGTGAGTCCTCTATTGTTTTCGGTAAGTACATCTTCATTTTCCTCTTATATCAATTGTGTGTAGAAGTTATGCCTGAAAACTCATTTTTTTCTGGAGTGTGCATTAGGCAATTCTTGTGATAATATCCATGGAGTCTGACAGAGGTCTGTCCTTCAACCCTGGCTCTCCAGGAACACTGTGCAGTGCTTCTTGCTGACAGCTGAAGTTTAACTAGCCATCCCCAGAATCCAGTTCCATTTCTCATCCTAAAGTGAGTGTTTAAGATAAGTGAGATGTGTCACTCTCCAGAGCTGCTCATCTCTCTGTTGACTATAAAGACAGCCTGTGTGACTAAGTTAGATTAGACACAATAATTATAGATGATTAAATCTAAGTGAAATGTCTCTGGCTTGGCAGAGATGTGACCTTACTTGCACCATATTCATATACAGAGAGAATTTCAGTGGTACAACAGATTTCATAATAAATGTTCAGAATGCCTTCAAGACTTTAAACATTGTACAGACACCTTGCCTAGATCATTGCAATGCTAGAAGTCACAGTTGTGTCCCCCTGCTTTATCTGAACAGAAGTTTCACATCCCTATGATTCTAGGCTTGTCTTCTCATTTCTGCCACAAGTTATGTATAGCTGGAACTTCACGTGGTACGCGTGGAAGATCTGTGGACTGAGAGACTATGGGTTAATGGCTTGTACAATAAAACTCTCTGTGACGGTTAGTTCCCAGTAGCTGATAGTGGATCTTGGGGTGGCTGTTAGTCATATTGAGAACATGAGTTAAAACACTGTAAGTGGAATAACCAGAGAATTGTGAGGATTTTTTATTAAATGCAGTCACCCCTTTAAATCTAGGATGTATTGTGTGATTCATTGGGAATGTCTTTAAAAATAACATTCCTGCACCTGCAGATCTTTAAAAAATGAGATGACGTGGGAAGATGGTCAGGTAGTAATACAGTTTTTATATTAATTGCTTTTTTCATCTGTCCTAATTAGGCTGATTCTTTATATATGTCATATTAGAGGTGAGTCTCAAAAGACAGGTTTATAGCAGGGAACAGGTCATGGTCTTTCGAGGTCAGTTTATATTTTTTCTTCTTTGTGCTGGTATAGCTTGAGTTATATGTTTTGGGGATTTTTTTTTTTCTGCAGTCTTGTCAAAGGTTGAATGTAGTGGTGTTAGAAAACATGGGATAGTGAAATTCATACTAAAAATTCATGTGAAGCCTTAACTTTGTCTTTTTTCTTTAGAAATATAAATTTAGAAATAGAGCAAAACTCTATTTGGCATGTTGTCAATGATCAATAGCACCATCTCAACAATAATATGGACGGTCTTAATAAATCTTAATAAAGCAAAGTCTTAACTTTGACCTACTTTAGGAAAAGAGAACATCTGTTCTTGTATGGATCCTCTGGTAATAGGAAGGCAATGTGAAAAATGTGAAATTTTACAAGGAGCCTCAACAATAAAATGCTTACTTAAAGACTATGATAAATTTGTTCTTACATACCTTGCGACATTTTCCAGATTTCTGGTAATAAGCAGAAATATACATAAACCAAAAAAAGACCAGTAATCATTCCAACAAGCAAATAACTCAGTGGTTCTAACATTTCCGCTCCAAAGCATACTAGCGTTAGTAATGAAAATATTCACGACCAAGGAATGATCATATCCTCAGAAAGAAAGAACAAAACATGCAACATCAGGGAAACATTCCAAGACTGTTGCCATCCCAACTAGCTGAATAGAAATGTCTTCACTGGTATCTTTTATCGTGTGGACAGTTTTAAAGGAAAGTAATCAGGAATCTGAAAAAGATGAAAACTTCTATTTGTTATGAAGATACTTTGCTAAGGACTAAGAAATCTCAAGAATATAAAGACTTTATGAAGGTACCGTGTCCATCCCCAAATTCTGCAAAACCATTAAAGGTAGGACGAGTACAAGATAAAAGGAAAACTTCTGATCCAGACACATATTCTAGTTGAGGTAATTTTGATGGAAAGATCCAACTTTCAAAAACTTACAACTGACAGAAATACATGTGAATAATACATTATACTCAATTTTTCCTAAGCACATACTGTTTTTTTCATGATCATAAAAACTATAGTTGGTTAATAGGCAGGTTATACCTGGTTATACCTGGTGCCTCATTTGCTGTTTTTCAGCTGCTTTTCAAGATCTGGATTGTTTCATTCTTAAGGCTATAAAACTAACACTACATTGGAGACAATTCCTGTTATTAGGATGAGCTTTACATAAATACTGCTATTAAAAGTTAGTGCTGGTTCCAGGACTCTGTGTAGGGCTTTGATGACTTCGGTTTCTCGCTTGTGGTAACTTGTTTCCCTATGCTGCAGCATCGCTGGTGGAAGTGCTCACTGGTCTTGAGGACTGTTTTGAGGTCTTATGATTAAATACTTATACCATACTTTAAACATGTAAGGCACTTTGCAAATGTTAATGGCTGTTAATGTTTTTGTTTGCACTTAGGGCCACCTTTATTTAGCTTAAGTAGACCGTTACAAAACAACTCAAAAGCAGTACAGAGGAAAAAAAGTCTTAAGGTGCCTGTTTCAATTAGTGACAACACTCTTGCAAAATCCAGACCAGTCAAAATGAGATATATTTATACGTATCTATCTATCTATCTAAATATATTACCACATTTATTACCTCATGTTATGCTTGTCTCATAGTTAAGTTTATATCTGTGTATATAACTATGTATCTAATGTCTTCTGTACATGTTTGTACGTTCAAATATTATTTATGTGCATCCAAATGCTTAGAGAAAAGAGAAGTTACAAGATTATTTAACATGGTATAAAATTTTTTGTTTGAGTGAAATTGAGGCTACACTATTCACAGATATACTTCAGAATATTCTGGAATATGTAGCTGATAAAAAAAAGAATTCAGTAAATAACTCATTACAAATAAAAGCTGTTTAGTAGTATATTTGGTAGATATTGCCCATGTTTTTTCAAAACATGTTTAAATCTTTCTTCTTGAACTTGTCTTCTTACTGACATCTCAGAATGCTAAAATGAGACAGTCAAGTCTTTCAGCTGTCTTTTGAATATGAGTCCCATTAAATGGTTTATAACAGCAGTCAGTCAACTGGTATTCAAAGCAAGAATCAGATGCTTGCTTGGCTTTATCTCAATCCTGGTGTGACAACGTATAAAGAATTTATAGGAAGCCTCATTTTCACAGTCCGAACAGAATTCTCCTCTGAATTATTTTTACATGAGTACTACATCTCGCCTTCTCTAGCCATAGAATTTGAGTGGATGTTCTTCACTGATACCATGTTAAGAAAGTGTAGTATTATTATACCCACTTTTCTCAGTCCTATATGGACGTAGATTGATCTTGCCCAAATACATGCATTTAATTTTCTGGGTTTGTACATGTTAATATATATTTATCTAAAGCCAATAGGAGAAGCAAAACAGTTATATTGGAACATGTATTGTCATATTTAGATGACTTATTTTTTAATTTCAGAGAAGAAGAAACTATATTTTAATGAATTTTTAAAAACTCATTTTAAAACATTTTAAAATGTGATTTGAATAGGGTTTTTAGTAACTATAGGTAGCTAAGACATTAAAATAAACACAGGAGCGAGTTAATGCAGTTCTATTAATACATCAGAAATAGTGAAATTTGAAAATTACTTAATACAGACAAAACACTGGGTCCAGCTCTAGTTCTTTCTACGTGTGCATGTACTCAAGCAGTAATCTTCTTTCCTTGAAGTGTACAGAAGATACAAAAACAGTATTTACTTTTTGTTACCTAGAGTTTGGGCCAGACTTGAGTATTATGCATGCAATAAGATGAAAAGATCTAAAAAGGGATCAGAACTAATGTTAGAAACAGAAATCCATACACATAAAAGAATTGCATACTACGATGGCTAAAAAGTGCCACAACACATATCAGCTTGGCAGCTGCACATTTTAAAAGCATGTTTAAAAATATGGGAAGCATAAAAGAACTGTATGAATAAAGGCAGAGGTGAAACACCTGCTGAGCTGCAGCAATATGTGCAGCCGGTAAACAGGCTTTGACAATATGTTACAGAGCAGCATCCACCATCTTCAGCAGAGCCTACAGACATCTGCATCAGATTTCTGTGTATTTGCATGTCAGTCCCACAGGGAAAGTATTCAGGAGTTAAAATTTGACATGACAGTGACAATAATGTTGAAACTTCAACCTCAAATTAGAGTTCAGTTTATTCTTTAAAGCAAACAAAACAGCAAGCCAACCAAGTGTCCTTCTTCAGACCACCAACCTCATGGCAGCTGTTGTACGTCCCCTCAAATCTCAAAGGAGACCAGTGAATACTAGAATGAGTTGAGCTTCTCAATATATACTCCTTCACCTGAATGACTGGTCTGTTCTTTATGTCATGGTGAAGTTGTTTAATGGAACCTCTGACCATCAAAGGGAGCATGATGTAAATTTTCTTATGTTAAATATGCCTTTAGCATTAAGTGTCTCACTTAAACATTTTCAGGATCCATTAATGAAGATTTTTTTAGACTTGTTTCAAAGAATATTTGTTCATAGTAATATAATCTAAAATGAGATTATACACACATTAAAGAAAGTTATCATATGCCAAGTTGTATTCAGCCTGTAAACTGTGTTAAGGTTCTCCTGAGTGACAAGTAAGGAGAGTTTTATATATCAGACTTGCCCTGTACTACCTCTGAGGTAGAAAAACTTTCAGTAAGTTTGTTGCTTGGTGGAAACCACCCAACAGGTTACTCTTACTTTCTGCACAGCCAGAACTCATATATCTGGAATGTGTTCCAAGTTGGAGGTTAAAGTGCTATTACAGTTCCCCTTAACCCTTGCAATCTAGCAGTGGCAATATGGAAATTGAAATATCAGACTACAAGCATATATTTTATCTGGATAAAAGCACAATAATATGGTAAAAGGGAATGCTCCTTGCTGCTCAAGTAATACCTCAAACAGGTGCCTTCTT